CTGTCAAGTGGTTCCCCATTGTCTGTGGGTGGACCATGGTACGAAGGGTGCGGGGATGTGATCAAATTGGCAGGATCATCACTTTTTCCTCGCTAATGAACTGGTTCGTGGGGGCTAGATCATGAGAAAGCCGCAGGATATTCTGCCTAGTGAGGGTCCTTTCTAGCAACGTTAGAGACGTGAATGGCTCAGTCTTCTCTTTCGATTTGAGGGCCTTGAAGAAGAGGTATGAACGCGGCGTCCAGCGTAGTATTCTTTCCACCGCTGAGCATCCGTTGAAAAGGGGGCAAACGTACGTTACCTGCCCATCCCGCAAAGAATTGCCTCACGGCTCCGTTTTCACTTCACCCTGAGCGTCCTCTCACAGTGATGGAGATGAGGAACTTGCCAACCAGCCCTGGCACTGCCCTGGAGCATGATACCCCACAAGTGGGGTTTCTTCAACGTTTTCTTCAGGGGTCTGTCAGGGGTTCGAGAGGGTCCTACTAGGTTGGGAAATGATCATCTCGGATTTTTCTGCTGTCGATCGACACGAGTGCGCAGCTTTGGGATGGCAGCTCGTTGCGGCGAGCTCAGCTCACCAGGCGGCTGGGATATCACGTGTTGCATATTGTTTGAGAAAGCTCATGCATCCATTGGCAGTCGGCATCAATTCCTTCTCGGTTAAGTGACAAGGTTATTATATTGCTCTTACCATTTCTTGTTTCTTGAGCGGAATTTCCCACGCGCGCTCACCAACATACATACGGCTGTTTGGCCACTTTCTTGAACGTCTCCAAGCTAAATCCTTGATATATCTCTGAACCGAAAGGATAGGCCATGCGACTGACAACAACAAGATGACGACCTTGGATCCAACGCAGCGTTTTGTCGACCACCTCGAGGGCACAGGCCTCAGCCTTTTTGTTGTATCCATTGTTGGCGGCATAGTCTCGCTAGTGGTGGTGGGGGCACGCACATATTTCCGACTCAAGGAGAGAAACTTCAGCTTCGACGATGGCTTGATGCTGAGTGGGTTGGTAAGTTAGAAGCTGGAGGTTTGACAACACGCGCTTGCTCGAAACTGACTAGTACTGATGCCTAGATTGTCTATCTCGCAGATGTTGCTCTTGCATGCGTGGGTGCCCTCAGCGGGTTGGGTAGACGCAATGCCGACCTTAGCGCGACGATGATGGTTGAGTCCATCAAGTACTTGATGATATGGATGTTGCTATACGTCATAGCATTATGTCTTGTCAAGTCCTCCATCTGCATCACCACTCTACGGATTGCCACCACAATGCCAAAGTTGCGCGTTGCAGTCTACGTTCTGCTTGGGCTCATCATCGCCACATTTCTCACGACTTTCATCGGCATATTGCTACTCTGTCGACCAGTCGAGGCAAACTGGGACGCAAGCCTTATAGCAGATGGTCGCGGGGAATGTTCCCCTGTCACCTCTATGTTGGGCCTGTCATACACGTCAACAGCCAGCACCATTGCGACGGATCTGGCTTGTGCGGTTCTCCCGGCTATCATTCTCATGCAGACGCAGATGAGGCTTTCAACGAAGATCATGGTTGCAACTTTCCTCTCTTTCGGTTCTTTGTAAGTCATCCCTTAGAGGTTCTTCGTCAACCGACTAACTCTGATCTCCCTCAAGTGCTTCAGTGTCGACAATGATCAGAACCCCTTATATCGACCATTACAATCGTCCGCTCGACGATCTTGCTTGTAAGTCTATTGCAATACTTGGTTGACAATCGTTTTACTAACTTCGTTCGCGCCGTAGATCACATTGGCAACATTCCTCTATGGTCCAACGTCGAGACTGCCATCGGCTTGATTGCAGGATCTCTCCCCGCCCTGCGCCAGTTCGTTATGCGACATCGAGCACCGCGAGCTACAACCAGAGGCACTGAGGGTTCCATCGGACTGCAGCCACCATCAGCCGGGCTTGTGACAATCGGTGGCTCTGGAGGGACGTCAAAGATCAGGGGTCGGAAGGGCATGAAGTCTAACTTTGAGATCGATGAAGCCGACCAAGGCGATTGGACGCGTCTAGAGGAGGACAATGGGTCGGACAAGGACAGCACTGTGCCTATTCGGGGGATCCGAAAGGATATGACTTATGAAGTTGAGACGTCATCGGCCGGGGATAGCCAGCATTCTGGCAGGAAGTGATCAAATCATAGTCACCACTTGAAGCCTACGATACTTGCTTGGCCCGGTTGCTCCTTCGGCATGCTGCTATCCACAAAAACAGCCGAGGGCAGAAGATGCAAAGAAAGAAAAAATTGATGACGGAAAATCGGCTTTCATGGCCAGGGGCTCGCGTCTCGTCTAGAAGAGTCTTTGCAAATTAGAGCCAACAGTCTCTCCAGAACGACAGCTCTGATTACGCGGACCAATTAATATGCCAGTATTGGAGGTTTTTGGTGGGGGCCAAAATCTTCCCCTGCCTTTTGACAAGGGGCCTGGTCGATTGATCCATGGTCATGCAACAGTCCTGTTGGATCGTCAACGTGTCGACTGACCGCTACGAGGGAAGCGAACGATGCGACCTTGGTTCGGCACAAGCGGTGTCCATTCCCCGAAGGCTTTCAACTCCAGTTCCATGAGGTTGAAATGCCTCTGACCTTGTTCGCAAAAATATGTCCCCGAACACAGCATAGATCAACCACGGATCAATTCAATCCAGCGGGACGGTCCGGCCAGCGGATTGTCATCCCGGACACTCATTTCGGGGATACGACGGGTTTCGGGCGAAATTGCAACGCTGGTTCTCTTCTACGCCTGGGCATGCACCAACTCCGAGGAACATCGTCCCACGATCCAGGCTGCGTAGCCAATTGGGTAAGAAACGTGCAGAGCTTACGGTTGGCAATTTGTGGGTCTTGTTGTACGAGCGGAATCTGCTCCGATGCTTCTCCAATTTCCAAGTGCGGCGCAGAATGCGGAGATATCACGCTTCTGGGATGCGGTCTCAGCCTGCTGTGATGTCTATTCATAAGCCAGAACACATAAGGCTGATGGCTCCCTCCGTGCGATGTCGTTTCAAGCGAAGTTTTCACTGGCATGTATGAGCCGATCCGACGGGATCATAGGCTACCGGTTCCTTTTCCAGCCGATATGATTTGGGATGTGATCGTCGTAGGAGGCGGCCTCGCCGGGTCGGTCATTTCCAACCGCCTTGCGGGGTATCGTCCAGAGCTCAAGATCCTCGTTGTGGAAGCTGGGCCCAACGCCAACGATCGGCAAGATATCGTCTGGCCTAACTCCACAAACACTATTGGCGGAGATTTCGACTGGAAGCTCGCTTCCGTTCCTCAGGTGCACGTGGATAACCGGTCCATCACCCTCGCCCAAGGAAAGGCTCTGGGCGGCGGAACTGTCATCAATATGGGTACGAACCTCCTTTTGCAGGGTATTTTCAAACCACACTGACCTCAAACCAAGGCCTGTGGACCCGGGGTGACAAGGTTGACTACGACCTCTGGGGTGAAGCTGTTGATGATGACCGTTGGACCTACGATGGACTCTTACCATACATGAAGAAAGCGGAGACCTTCTGGAATTCTACGATCAACTCGGATCAGCATGGTTATGACGGGCCAGTGGGAATACAGTCCGTCACATCCACAAAGCGACCATTCCCTCTTCGTGAGAAGGTGCTGCAGTCGTGGCACGAAATTGGCGTTGAACCCATTTCATTGTTTGATGGCAATGCCGGGAACCCTCTTGGTGTTGCCGAGTACACTGAGAACAAGACCAATGGTCGACGGGAGATTGCCGCCGCAGTTTACTCCCTAGAAGATGCGACAGTGCTAACGGATACACAAGTCGCCAAGGTCCTCCTTTCTAACACGACTGAGGGGCTGATAGCCACAGGTATTGAGCTAGCGAACGGAACCCATATTTTAGGTCGGCAGACTATTTTCTCAGCCGGTGCAGTTCACACTCCGCAGCTTTTGATGCTCTCAGGTACGTTAAGTGCTTCAGGCAATGCGTTGGCAATTGTTGACAAGGAACCTTAGGCATCGGGCCCCGTGATGAGCTTGAGGCGGTGGGCGTTGACGTGAAGCTTGATGCTCCTGAAATTTGCAAGAACTATGCCGATCACTTCCTGTCTCCGTCGTCCTGGAATGTCAAGAACCCTGAGGAAGGCTGGGCGGTAGGATCTCCCGAATTTCCGACAGCGGAACAGTACGGCTGGGGGACCGCCACAGACTTCGTCGTCTGCTCCAGTGTACCAAAGGAGGGACTCGCCAAAGCTATTGAAGAAGATGAGGGTGCCGCACCCGGCCCCGATCATCCTCTCTTGAAGCAAGAACGTACCTTCTTCGAACACTTCTTCCTCTACTCTGGGTCTACCGACGGTTCAAAAGTCGCAATCTCCGGCATTTTCATCTTGCCGACTTCGCGGGGCTCTATCAAGCTTGCGTCCGGAAACATTACTGACTCGCCCCTGATCGACCCCAATTATCTCGCGACTGCCGTCGATCGCTACATCGTACGTGAGGGTATTCGTCAGGAAATTGCTTTTGCTGGCAGCGACAAAACAGTTCTTGGCCGTGAGATCCTCAACGGTGAAGCAGTCCCGGCAGGGTTTGAAGAGCCGTACACTGTTAACTCGACTGATGAGTACATCGACGCAAGGATCTGTGCTGCTGCTCGGTAATGTGACTTGATCTGTTGTTGAAGAGCAGTAACTAACTGACGCTAGATCCGTTCATCATCCGATGGGCTCAGTAGCGATGGGAAAGGTAGTTGATGGCGATCTCAAGGTCAAAGGGGTGCAAGGCCTGCGTGTTGTGGATGCGTCAGTCTTTCTGGTCGTTATCTCTGCTCATCTTCAAGTGGCCACATTCGCTCTTGCTGAGCAGGCTGCCGAAATCATTGCGAAAGAGTATTGAAATTCATCTGCTACGAGCTTATGATATTTCAAGCCAAGAGCAATAAAGTTTTGAGGTGGATAGGAAAGTCTCAGCAGATTTGATACTGTCTGTCCGACGAGTGCTTTAGCGCGTGAATAGACACCGGAGAACGTGGTCTTTGAACCATGCCTGGTTCTTTTTGCAAGAGTTGACGATGATGTCTCTCCCCTCCCGTGCGACGTGGCCGATCTGTAACTCGGACTTGTCTTGTGCAAGTGTGCCAAAACTGAGGAGATGCACGCCCACCTGAGCAGCAATGCGAAGGGCAACGTCTACCGGTAGAGGTCCCAAACCTGCAGCATACCCTTCAATGACGTGAATGCCTGCATTGGAGCCATCGTAAAGCCAGGTTGAGTAGAGTTCTCCGATCATTTCGCCGTGATCCATAGCGGGCACACCGATTTGGGCATTTTCCCAGTCCACAACAAACAGGCCAGTCTCTTTTCCATCCTGAAGTGACTCGTCACGAATCAGTATGCTGGTCCTTGGTCAATGTCCGATTCCAGATGTTTGTGAGGCGCCGACTTACTTCTGTGGGCAAAAGTCTCCATGGATGACCGTCGACGCCGCGGACCTGTTCTTCAGCTCGTCGATACCCTGCTCTCTTAGACGCACGAAAACACCTTTTGCGCCTTTCAAGATGTCTGGAAACTGCTCAACACGGTCCAGCAGCCAGTCATAGTTGACCATGAGCTTCAGATCCTGCATTTCATTGCTACGGCTGATTGCCTCGTGAAGAGTCGACAGGTGAGGACTGGTTCCCTCATCTGCGTGGACCCGAGCTACCGGGCTTGTGTTCTGGTGAAATTGGCTTATGTACTCTGCCAACGCTCTACCGATGTGAAGGTAGTGTTGCTTCAGTAGCACGGCAAGAGGTTCCTCGCAGCTCTTCAGTACAATGCTTTTCAGATCCAGACTCCCTGGCAGATACTCTTGAATCTGTGTTTTGGTTTTGTCATCGTAAAGGTAAAACTTCGGCGTTCTCACAATATACGTGGCATTCTCGGATGCCTGCAGAGTAGCCTCGATTGAGTGAAGGTACTTCAGACAAGCTACTTCAGCGGACTGCACAAGGTTAGTGTGGCATCAGAAGAGGTTGATCAACGTACGCAGCGTTCGATCGTGATTGCGTTGCTAGGATGCCTGGCCATGTATGGTTCTCCATGTTTGACAAGAACTTCGTAAACGGCTTCACGGTGGTCGTTGTCGTCTTTTGTTCCTCGCTCCAATTCCGCGTGGTAAGTGAAATTGGCTTGGCCGCCCGTTAACGACTTCAATGATACTGGCTTATAAACGGTCGCGCTCATCCATGACCATACTCTGAGGCGAACATCTTCCGCATTCTCAAGGCTTGCCATCGTCAGACAATTCTCAGCTTGGCGAGAAATTGGAAAGAGAATTTCAACATAGGTTCCATGATGCTGACTTTATTGTCATACAGATGTGGCTGCCTGATGAGTGACGACAAAACAATGAAGGCCTCCAAATGGATGCCTGCGTGCTATTACGGTATGGTTCTGCGCAAGTGTTGGGCGACGACTGCTGGCATCAATGTTGACTTCGAATGGGCACAGTAAGAACTAGCTTAAGGCAGCAGCTAGACTAATCTGATATGTGACATCCAGTCATCTTTTGGTGGATATGCCCGCAGTCTTCTCGATCTATCATACTGTCTGGCCCAGACTTTTTCTCGTAATGAATAGCCGATCTTACAAATGGCGCACACAAATACCCCTAGTGACCCATGTGACCGACGCCAGCGAATGGGAGTCTGGGAGGATCTTTCAAAATACCCACTGGCCTGTATGCAGGATATCTGGCTTCAGGATTGGTTTCCCCGCACCATTGTTCTCATTGCACTACAGTCGTCTCACTCGTCAATCGCTTATTTTCAGCTCCAGATGCATAGCATGTTTCAGTCTCTGGACTCTTCCAGGAGAGAAATAAGGCTCTTGCGCATTTTATCTAGTGCATGGTTTGACAGCATTAGACTGAATCTCGATGTCGTGTCTCTCGATGCAAAGCCTCAATACCAGGCCCTATCATACGTTTGGGGAAGCGAGGCCGACCCCAAATCGGTGACCCTCCACGACCAGCCTTTTCAAGTAACTTCCAACCTATATAATGCTCTACGCAGGCTTCGGAAATCGAGAGTTTCCGTGGCTTTATGGGTCGACGCCGTATGTATCAATCAGAAGGACAACGCGGAAAGAACCCAGCAAGTCTCGATAATGAACCACATCTACGAAAATGCGTTTGAGGTTGTCATCTGGCTTGGCGACAGCCTTTCGGACAGTTTGAAAGGCCTTGAGAGGTCTCCTGGTTTACTCGAAGACGGGCCTCGGTACGTTGCAAATAACGCTAGCATTGAGAATTTCGGCAGACGTGAACCCTTCGACAACACGGAAACGGAGGCTGCGGCAGGCTTCACTGTCCTACAGTTACTGGGTGAACCCGGGCACTGGGACTCGAAAGAGATTTTCGCAGTGAACCAAGAAGGACAGTTTGTCGTGGCCGAAATATACCACGCAGCATGGCAGGCTTTCCTGGGCCTCATGAGCTGTTCGTGGTGGTCGCGGATGTGGATCGTCCAAGAATTCGTCCTCGCCCGGGACTCGCAGGTCGTCGTCGGCAATGTCGCTGTGCCCGGACACTTGATCACGGACTTCTACCATAGTTACATTTCTCATCTTCCATCAGGGTGTTGCTGTCATCTCACCGTCTCCTGGCGGATGACAAGCGATCTTTGGGGTGAAATGATGAACATTCGACGCGCTGACATGGGCCTTAACGCTATACGCAACCAGCACCGCGATCACGGGGCTCACGATGGGAATAGACTAACGGCCATGCTTCGCAGAACCTTGTGGATACTCCGGCCGAAGGAAGCGACGGACCCGCGCGACAAGATCTGCGGAGTATTAGGTCTCTTCCCTGGCATTGGAATCACGCCCGACTACACGAGCGAAGCAGCAAAATTCTTCCCTTATGCATCCGAGTTCTTCATCAGCGCTGAGGAGGGTCTGATGATATTAGCTGGTCCAAGGATGCGGCGCCCGGATATGCCATCTTGGGTTCCTGACCTGATAGGTGACCCCCAGGACAGGTACTTTCACAGTACAACCAGGAGAATCAACCTATGCGACAGATTTAGAGCCTGTGGGGGGTTGGATCTGTGGTATCGACGTGACGGAAGTTACCTGGAGCTAAGAGGGAGAAAGATAGATCTCGTAAAGACAGCATCGCAGCCTTTTTCAGAAGGGCATGAAGCAGAGGGGCTGCTTCGTTGGAAGCGAGAGGCAGGCATCTCTGACACCTCCCCTAGCGGTAATTTGTACCCACGAGGAGGCTCTCAGGGCGATGCGTTTTGGAGAACCATCATCAGAGATACGATTCTCGATTTCGAAGAGCCAGACAACGACAGGCGCGCAACATCTGAAGACGCATCGTGCTATGAGGTCTTTCTAAAATGGCTGTGCGCAACTGGACATGACGAGAAGACCGAAATAGGTCGCCAACATGTCAACTTTGCGGGCTTCCAAGACGCCTTCTTCGTAGCTACTATCGGCCAAACCTTTTTCATAACGGACTCAGGGCTACTTGGGTTAGGAGAGGGAGTTCAACCGGGAGACGAGATTTGGATATTTGCCGGTGGAAGAGTGCCTTTCTTGATACGCCGCAGTGGTTCAACGATACCTAGGGATGGGAGGTATACACTCGTTGGCGACTGTTATGTGCATGGGGTCATGTACGGAGAAGGGATACATCATGATGTAGACCTTCAGCCTGTATTTCTAGAATGAGTTTCTAGTTATGTCTTTCAATCTTATGTACCGGGCCTGCTATATTCGTCTTGTGTAATTCACAGATTAGAGTGCAACTGAACCCCATGAGTCTCCTTAAGAGTCGTCTCTCCGACCCCAGGAGTGCGCCGGTATGCATCAGGGAAGATTCCCTCCAGCGTCCCCTTGATCTGCAAAGCAATCACCTTCGAAAACCATCGATGCTGGCCTGTTCCACCGGCGAACACGTAGATGTTGTCCACGTCAGGTTGGCGCTTCCAGAGTCCACGAGTCTCTCCTTCGGCATCAACACCCCACGTCGACTCCATCCTGCTTGCGATCTGCTCTGCCCCCTGTCCGAGGATGTCCGGGAGGCTCTTCCTCACGTCCAAATTTCCGAAGCCTGTGCACCAAACAACAGCGTCAGTCTTTACCTCACTGCCGTCACTTAGAATCACGCCGTCAGTGGAAAAGCCTGCTGGAACGACCCCCGAGCGGATGCCAACTTGGCCGGTGGTAATGAGCTCAATGCCCTTGCCCATGTCGACAAAATGCCCCCCACAACGATCGATTAGGTTTATCAAAAGGTCGCCTGTGAGTGAGTCTTCGACCTGCAGACCGGCCCTTCGTACTTCGTCGTACCGTTTTCTGATGTATGTCAGCGGCTGGATACATCAACAGATCTCATGCAGAAACACTCACGGCTCCTCGATCGCCTGCATGCCGTGGCAAAGGGCGAGCAGAGGACCTCCAACTGCCAGAGGCCCTCCACTGACAACAGCGTCGCAGTCTTCGATGGGGAGAAATTCGTACGCCCCGAGGCCCATGGGATGGGCGAAGTATGACATTGGTACAACGTAAGTTGGTGATCGCTGGATCATGGTCGCCTGGAGGCCGGCCTTGTGACAGTCAGGCATGATGTCGAATGCGGTATTCGCAGAGCCAACTACAACCACAGACTGTACGACTGTTAGCATAGTATCTTTCACGATTAGGTGGACTGTCACACACCTTCGCGCCAGCGTCTACCAGCTGTTGTCCATTTTCATACGCTGTCGAGTGGACGATGGAGCCTCTGAACTTATCACGACCTGGAAGATCTGGCACGTTGACTCCTGAGAATCCAGCGCCTGTCGCCACGACTAGGGATCGGCATGTGGCCACTCGCTCGCATCCCCGTACACCATCAGCGATTTTCACGCTCCACAATTTCTTGCCTGCATCATACGAGGTGGCCACTATCGAAGACTGGTGAAGAATCCGTTGATTGAGGTCAAACTCGTGAGCAAAGGCGTGTATCTGGTCGGCCAGCTCGTCTTTCGTTAAAGCATCGCTCGCTTCGTCGGGATATGCTGCGAGTTAGATCCGAGTCAGTGTTGAACCTTCAATGGGAGATAGCGAGGGGGCTGTTACGGGCGCTTACGGATGTATGGTGTTTGGCAGAACGACTTGAAGGTGTGAAAGCGCATGCAGTCATATCTCAAGCGCCAGTTATCCCCAACCTGCTTGTTTCGGTCGACGACGGCATAGTCCACGTTGAGCGCCTTAAGTCTTCCCGCCAGAATGACACCACTTGTGACATGTTAGCATAATGTTATCAGTTATCGTGTAGGCACTCACGCGTTGCCTCCCCCGATGACGAGTACATCGGTCTGAAAGTCGGTGTCCGCGGGTAACGGTATCGAAGGCTGCCGCAACAGACTCTCGTCCTCCAAGTGGTCTTCAAAGTTCGTCAACCATGTGCTCATGGACCAGATCCTCCATTCGCCGTCGGCCCCGTCGGGGATAAGCATGAGCTTTCCTCTACATCGAGCTCTCGGGGATTCCGTGCTGAAGTAGAAGCTACCGTCGACCCACGACTACTCGAGGTCAGTCATGCTGACGTGTATTCTCCAGCTCTGTCGCGAGAGGCAACGTACCAGCTCCTCGTTCGCCTTCACTACTTGCGCTGCACCAAACTCCACCGCAGTGATCCTCCGCAGGTGGCTGAGCTCCACGAGCGCGGCGGCGACCGTCTTGCTGCCATTGAAGGTCCGTAAATGAGCCGTCAGTGCAAGCGTATCTTTCCAGTGCGCCCCCGTGGCATTGCCAGTGAAGAGCTTGGCAACGGAAGGCTGATGTCTTGTCTGCAGGACTTCGGATAGCTCTGAGACGACGCTCAATCCCACCTTACTAGCATCAACGCCAGCCCAGTCGGTAGACGAGGTATTCGGAAGGACATCGTAAATTTGGCCCCTGATGTCGACTTTTGGGGGAAATTCGGGATACTCTGCGTGAAGGGCCATGTCGACAAACGGTTCGCGGGGACTGCTCACCGTGATGCACACATGCATCCAACACCCAGGAGGGCCCTTTCCTCTTCTTAAACATCAGGGACCCCTCATCCTCTCGCAGGGCCAAACACGTCCGCGCCAAAGACAACTCCCACGGACGTTCCCGCTAACAATCGGGCCGCAGATCTTAGTACGCCACCACCACCAATCGGGACGACTATCCCCCAGACACCAGATGAGGCTTTTGGGGAAGCCCGAGAGACACAAATGTCTCACAGCCTCAGCCCGACGGCATTTTCGCTA